AGAGATGGAGGGCAGAAGAGAGGAGGGTAAGATGGAGTTCATTAAAAAGGGCAAGAAAGGATTCTGGAAATAGGGGGGAGAATGGGGGATAAAGAAAAAGAGAAATAAGGCTCCAGGAGGAATGAAACAAAGATGTAGTTTATAGGGAGAAGGAAAGAGGGGGAATGGAGAAGAGAGGATCATGCCCTGGAAGGATGGAGGAGAGAGAGACTTTTTAGGACTAAATGTTCCAGGGGCGTAGGTTGTAGCCATGTTGCTCTAAGGACATAGGCAGACAAGGTTCTTGAGGTAAATCTGATAATTTTTATTAGACTAACTAAAATAGCTGGGGGAAAAATCTTCTTTGCAAGCTTTCAGGTACAAACACCCTTCTTCATTTAGGAATAAATGTGTCAGCAGAGAGAAGCCAAAGCACCATGAGGAGTTACTAACCCCTTCCCCCTGCCCGTGCTCAGAGCCAGCTCCATCCCTTGGCCTGAGAAACTCCAACCAGCTCTGACAAAGGATGTCTGATGCCAGAACAGAGACACCTCTAGGGTCTCTCCTCTAACCCTGCTCCTGAGCAGTCTGATGCCATGTTGCAGCCCGCACCCCCAATCCCAGCAGGGAATGAGCCCCTTGTTTTACGTTTCCCTTTGCATCCACTCACCCCTGTCCTGTGATAGAATTACACCCTGGGACTGTGCCACTGGCTGGACTCGCTCCTGCATTGAAAATAGCAGCACCATTGCCATGGAGACAAAACAGCTACTCCTTCCCCAGGCCTTGTCTCTCACCCTCCCTCCTGCCAGCCCAGCAGGCTGCTTTCTCCTAGAGTTGTCTCACAAGTTACCCTGGTAACAGTGTCCCTGGCAAGCAAGGGAAGCTCATAAACACAAACAGTGATTCCCCTGGATGCAGGTCCCGCTCCACTCCCACGTGCCCAGCTAAGATATCACAACAAAGCTGGTGTCAGTGCACGGCTCTGAGGAGTGAGGGTGGCTGCATGCGGAGCCTAGGCCAGGGAAAGCGATGGCGCCACATGGAGCGTGTGCAGGAAATCCTCCCTTCAGCCCTGGCACCGAGCTCTCAAAAACGGGACGGAATCAGCACTCTGATAACATTTCCACCAGATCCGCCCACATCCTCTCCTTCTGCCTGGCGTGGGAACAGAGGGCAAAGTGGGTCCTGGCCAGCCGCATAACTAGCAACAAAATGTGCACCCAAGCTCCTAGACCTGTGGCTGCCCTCCTGCCCCCAACAGGAGTGACCCCACATGCTCCCTATTTACCCAGGTTTTGCATTAACCCAGACTCATAGGAGTCAGCAGCACAGGGGCTTGTGCCTGCACTGGCACCAATGTCCCCTGGTGCAGTCACCTAAGGCAGAGTCTCTATCTGGGGATGATGGGCAAATACAAGATGGATTGTAAGGTGAGGCTCAGGAATGGATTGTAACAGAGTTGTCGTGAGGCTGGGGAACAAATCTGTCCTAGCAGGGGATCTCTGGCTTGTGCCATGTGCACTTCCATGCTCCTCCCTATGCTGCTCCATGAAGGGAGAAAAGCTCCCAGACAAAATGCAGAGACACCTGCTTCTCCTTCCCCCCAACACCCGGTCCCTCCTCAGAGCTCATCTCTCCCATAGCATACACAGGTAACTGCAACCTGCAGATGGCCAGGCAGGAGTGAATCATGGCTGATGCTTCAGACTGGTTAAGACACAAGATGAAATTACTTCCCTGGGGTGACAGTGAATCACTGGCAAGTTAGGGATGAAACTTGGAGCTTCAGCCTTCAATTATCATTGTGCTAAGCCTGAAGACCACAAGGAAGTGCAGCTGTCACTGTTGGAAATGCTGCCCTCAGGAAACAAAATGTGCATTAAGACCTAGGTTGGATTTACCTTAGTGTCTCTGATCACTGCTTCTTCCACAGATACCAGCTGGAGCCTGTACTGTACCACATGGCCTCAGAAACAGGCAGCAAAGTAAACTGAGAGGAAATCTGAGCAGCAAAACCTATGATGAAGCTATGGCAAGAGGGAACATAACTGTGATTATAGGTCCCAGTTTCCCTGAAAACCTGTGCTGGGATTCCAGTTTCCAACTTCCTGGAGCTTGGAGAGGATGGTACCATCAATATGAAACCAAGTGAACAAAATTACCCAGGTAATGAGATTAGCACTGCTAAATTGGAGGTGAAAACCTGGTAATGGAAGACATTGATTTTTGGAAAATACAGCATGTAGGCATCAAAGTAAATGGATCTGGGGACAGTAAATTAATCTTGAGGAAGGGCTTCCAAACCAAAATTGTTGTCAGAAACCAGTTAGAGGGCTTTTATGCCAATACTCAACAGACCAAGAAAACATGCTTGTTATAAGGAAGCATTTTCCATGCAGCAAAGTCAAGAGTTTAACAAGTATCTGAGAATCAGAGCAATGGTTTGAGCCAAGTTAGAAACTACATTATAGTCACTGAGCTATTACCATAGGTAAGAGAGATCAAGATCTAGGCAGTGAACAAACAGGGCTTCCTTCTGCTCACAGGTCTGGGAGATGCAGTCTGTCATTTTAATATACTTATTGCTGCTGTTCTGAAGCAACAGTCGACCTTCAGCTGTGCATCTCAATCAAGAAATTGTTCTTTAGATATATAGGGAGTAAAAGGAAGGCCCAGGGAGGAATAGGACCCCTGCTAAATTTTTTGGATATGCATCTAGCTGGGGTCATCTAGACCCAGCACTCTTTCCTGCCTATGCAGGGGGTCGGACTCAATGATCTATTGAGGTCCCTTCCGACCCTAACATCTATGAATCTATGAATCTATGAATCTCAGACAAATAAGAATCTAAAATTGGCTCTAGCCAGTGGACTGGCATCCTCCAGACAATGCGAAAGCCAGTTGTTTCAACTAGTAGCACCCTTCCTACTTGATACCAAGCTCCTGCAATCCCTACCAGTGCTCCCAAATCCTCATCCATGATACCACCTGTGTTCCAGCTCTGAGTCCCCAGCCAGCTTACCCCACCTATTCTAGCCATTGGCAGACTGCCTTGCCATTGCTGGGTGGAAAGGGCAGAAGGCAGCATGTGCCAGGTTTCCAATGTCTCCAAAGTCATGGAAAGGCAAATTCCCAAACTGGCTGGGGAATGTCTACAGAGAGACATCAGAAAGTGAGTCAAACTTTCCAAAGCCCCTAAATGACTTAGCCCCATTTTCTAAAGCCCCATTTTCAAAAGTGACTGAGACACTTAGGACCTTGTGTCTCCCTGATAGTCAATGGATTCCGGCTCCTAAGTCACTCAGGCACTTTTGAGAATATGACTCAGCATCCCTGCTATCTCCCTAAGGAAGCCATCCATGCCACTCACGGTAATCTCCTAAAAAAATAAAAGAATAGACTTTGTGCCATTTCTGCATGGGTAATATAGATACATGCCCACTTGGGACAAGGCTGGGAACAGAAAAGTCATGTCATGTGTGATCTAAACTGGGATTTGAATTGTGGAAAGCTTAATCCCCAAACTGTCACACCCCCCCAAAGCTCTGGGCACAGCAAGTGAAAAAGGACTGATGTACAAATCAGCAGGAGTCCAGGAGGGGAGAACTGGATGACAGGCAAATAAGTAGTTGGAGAAAGAGAGCGTGTGTGGGAGGGAGATAACAGGTTTAAAGGGCAATGCAAAAGGATTTTGTTCTTGGTGTTTGTGACCTAAGATTGATGAGGATTTCTTTCTCCCCCCTAAGACTGTCACTTCCCCTCCTCTTTTCAAGTGAAATTCCATCCTCTGTGGCTTCTGGATGTGGACTAAGCATGTGAGGGAGGGAGGGAAGGAAACTGGATTCTCCCAGTCCTGTCTTGCTTTGGTTTTAGTAAGGAAGGAGTGGGAATGACTGCCTGACAACCCCTCCAGCCATAGAGTCAGGAGAGGAAACAGTTACTGAGCCTGTGCCATGCTCTAGTTGCTGGGAAGTCAAAAAGGGAACCAACCCTAGCTGCAGGAAGCACCTCACCATAGTAACAAACCCCCTATTCTTCTCCTTGGATGGGCAAGTGGGGCTCTGGGCTTCTCTGTTCTCAGGTACCTCCACCTCCATCCTCTCAGAGTTGGCTCTCCAGACCCCTGCACGGGGGGCATTTTCCCCTTGTCTGTCCATTGGCTACCCCATGTCTGCAGCTGTCTAGTTCTTTCTGTTCCTCTTTTCTAATCCTCTTCCCTAGTGATTCACTGCCACATCTTGCTGCTCACTGCATCAATACCTTTGATTTCCCCTTTTCCTACTCCCCTCTTACTTTCCCTCACCTCATTTCTTTTGATTACAATAAGGAGAAAGAAAAAGTGGCTGGATTAACATGGTAATAATGCTGGCCTTGCCAAAGCCAATATGGGACTAGGAAGAGCTGCTGAACCTAGAAGAGCCAAGAGCAGAGCCCACTATGGACAGTTAGGGGGGGAATCTTGGTGACTGCACTCACTGCTCTTATACCATTAATGCAGAAGTTAAGGGCTCAATATAAAAATGACCAAGTGAAATCCTCGCACCTGGCTTATGCAGGAAGTCCAACCAGATGATCGCAGTGGCATGTTTTGGTATTAAAAATCTCTGGATTAAGGTGCTGGATACCCCAGACAGGGAGCTATTAGAGACGGGTTTAAACTGCACATGCCTAAGCCAGAGCCAGACCCTGCTTTTGGAAACACTCCCATGTGCTGAGCTGAGACTTCCCCACAAGGAGGCCTTGCCAGCTCGGATCACCGGGCTCCAAACACCCTGCTGTTCACAGATGTTCAGCTCTGGGGTTTTAGCTCAGTTTACTGCAATAGGAGTCATTTTCCAAAACTCAAATCCAGATCTTGAGGCAGATTAGGAACCACATGGTTGTTTGGGGTGCTGGGGGAACAGAGCAGAGGCTGGGGCCCGTCTAACAATTAATACAGGTTTTCTTTTCCTGCTCTGCCTGGCTGCCGGGTGAAGCAGCAGGAGAATGTTCCATTGTTTTCTCCCCTTTTTTCTGTGCATGAAGCTCTCCTTTGCATTGGACATGCCTGAACCTGTCCTTAGGCTCAGATTAATCCCCTACAACACCAGAAATGACAGCTGAGGTCAGACGCTGTCAGCAGAGGGGAGGAGGAGAAGGAGGAGGAGGAGAAGGAGGAAATCTTTCCCCAGGAAACCACACATGTTCCTAACCAGAGCTCTGGATGTGAACAACAGACAGTTGTGCCTGGTTCTCTTGGACTCTGTTAATACTGCTGGCAACAACCCAAAGCCTGCACAGTTGCAACACACTACTGAGTCCTAGCACTTTGCCCAGAGACACAGGAAGCTCACAATCTTCATGACATAGCTGTAACCTTCCCGATGGGGAGACTCCATTCAGCTCCACTAAAGAGGGCTGCAGTTCTGTTTTTTCTGACAGACCTAAAGAGGTCACCCTGAAATATGGCAAGGGAGTTAATAATACTGGAGCCCCAGCCGGCAGTGCTGGGAGGAAACTCTCCCTGCTGGCACCAACTGTTAAGGTTCTTGGAGCAACGCAGCAGCATCTGGGGCCTGTTTCTACAGCATAAAAGAGAGGGATAGCAGGCCAGGGGAAGGGAATGATTAAAATGGAGCTCAGAGTTGATGTAAAGGCAAAACTAAGACAATCTGAGGCAGAGTCACCATGACATGAGGCTTCTTTGCAGTTTTGCAACTATAGACATGGCCCCACAGAAGAGCAGCAGGGACATTTTTCTGCCCCAGACCTCATAGAGAGGTACTAGCATGCAGAAGAGGCCTGCCAGCACTCATACAACCAAATGTTTTGGCTGCTGGGGTGAGAGGACCAGACCCCGTACACACTTCACCAGCCACATACCATCCTGCAGTGATGCTAGTAGCCCCTGACTGCCCTTCCTAGGTGCTGGGGTTAACAACACCCCATTAAGATGAATGGGGCGGTTTTGTTCTGTGTCCGACTCTCTGCAGACTCAGGCAGACACAGTGACATCAACACTGGTTACGCTTAGGTCATGCTGTCAGGCTCCCTCTGTGATGATCATGAGGGGTAACCCTTATTTAAACAAAACAAAATGAAAAGATTCTGTCCTCATCACAACTCCAGAGGCTGAAGCCCAGGGCTTGTACTGTGCAAGTCTTGGTTCAGCCTAGGGAAAGAAGATGCAGCCTAACATAAAGATTCTGGAGCAGTCACTGTGCATCTCTCACAGATGGTTGAACCACCAGTAGTCTCTGCCCACAGCTGTTTTCAGCATTAGTTGGCATTTAGAAAAGGAGATGCCAACAGTAAGAGCATTAGCTCTCCACAGCAGGTACCCCCCCATGCACGTCCATCAGGAAGGGAGGGACCTAGCCAATTTTCCATTATAAATCTCCCCCATTCTGCAGCCACTACCACAGCTGGAGGGCAAAAACACATACTGCAGGTTGGATCTTGGTGTGTGTTCCAAAAAAGAGGAGGGGAGAGGCTGTTCTGGTCTCCTGAGCATTTCACACCTGCTCCTAAAAACACCTGCCTAAACACAAGTCAAAACAGCTTGCTTTGTCTGGTCCACATAAAACTACAATTAGAAAGCAATGGCAACTCCGTTGTGACCCAGACTGACACAGGCCAGGAAATTCAGGATTGAGAAGTAATGTCTGCCCCTGAACTCACCCTCTGTGCACGTTAAAAAACCAGCATCATCTTGGAAGTGGTGAATCTGATACAAGGGGAGGCCAGGAACATTTCCCCCTCCACACCACTGAATTATCTGATCGCTGGTCATGCTTCCATTACTTCCCGGGCAGGGAATGTACTGTTCCATCCTCCCACTGCGTCCCTGGAGTTTGCTTTATCATTTGGGGACCACATTATGACACACTACTTGATTCAGTCTGCAGCTCCAGACCTGACTCCGGCTTGCCCTCCCCATCCCTTCCCTGCCCCGCAGGTAACAATCACCAATAAATCATTTTGTGGAGCAAAGAGGAGAGGACAGAGGGTCAGAGGACACCCAAAGCAAGAGGCACAAAGCTCCAAAAACCCGTTTTGGACTTGCTCTCCAAAGAGCTCTGCATTTCATTAGCACGCTGCAAGGCAGCACATCCAGTTCTGGCATGGGGAGTGGGGGGTTTCTTATGTCAGGAGCAGAAATTACAAACAGAAGACAAGCTGGAGAACAAGCTGCTCGCGCTTGTCACTGCATCTCTGCACTGGCCCCAATCTGACCCCACCTTCTGGGGTTTATTGGCTTGGGGCAGGCCAACAATAGTGCTCTAACACCTGGGCCCCTCGGCCTCACTGCCAAGGACTTGTCAACTCTAAATTACCAGACATCTCTTAGCTAGCTTGGTGACCTTGCCAAGGTGAAGTACCCCCAGCTTGGCTACCGATCCTGCTGCTGTAGCAAGGGTTTTCCTAACACGTTGCTCCATGAGGCATCCCTACTGGCAACCAAATTTCAAAGATAGCTCCTGCCCTTCAGTGGTTGGTAGCATACTAATGACAGATCAGCTTGGGTATGCCCAGCCCAGCCTTTAAGGTGAAGCTCCCAGGCCTTCTACATGTCTTGTCAGCAAACCAAACTCTACCTTTCCCTGGCAAACTTCCCTTTATCCCCTCTCTTCCTGGCAGCAGCCCCTCCCTGTGCCATCCGAGTCTTATCTAGGCAAACAATGAGCCTGTGTCCCCCCTAGAAGAGCATGAAGAGGCCAAGGCCAGGGGTTGTTGTGGACAAAGCAACCAGTCTCCTCTCCCTGCTAGAGAAAGCTCCAGTGGAGTAGCATGAGCAAGATCTATCTTCCTTGCAGCTCAGCACATCAATTGCACCCAAACCTGGCAACAGAGCATGGGGTGGCATAAGAGTTAGTGCTTCAAAGGAGAGGGAAGCCTCCCTCTCCCCACTTTAACTAACATACGCCTGAAGCATCATGGGCAAGCACAGCATGCTGCAAACAGATGTGAATTCTGAGGAACGTGCCAGGGCCAGAGGGAAGAGCTGAGCCCTTGCCTTTAATCAAGGTTTAATTATGCTCACTACAGGGCAGAAGAGAATTTGTATAAAGCACTGCTGCCCCTTCTCCGCCCCCAAACACAGGGAGCTTTTTGCAAGTCCCCTGTCATGCTTTTATTCCCCCCGTCCATTAAGCAAGTGGCCTAGGATTTAAACCTTCCCAGGCTCTCTGTAGCACTTCCCCCACCCTGAAAGCTCTAGGACTGCTCGAGCCTTCCCTAAAGTAGGCAGCCAGCTGTGCTCTCCAGGCAAGGGAGTGGCAGAGTCAGGAATGCAGCCCACCACCCCCCCCCCTCCCCCCCCCCCCCCACA